AGATTTAAACACTCTAAAATAGGATTTGGAAGAAAATCAGACGACATTATACCGTTAGGAGACTTCCGCATTGTATTTGACAAGCTATTGTTTGTTAAAGGGACTCAACCGAGGTTTCTTGACATGACTACACTAAAAAATGTTTTTTTGAGATTAATGATCTATTTGTTGAAGGTCTAGACCAATAACTTGTGTGCAAAATTTCAGATCAGTCACTCTTTCCATTTTTCCAGAATAATTATTTTAATTTTGTAAAAATACTCAGAATTGAAAAGCGTTGCAATGTTTTTACTCCGATCGGACTAAAAATTACACAAAAATACAATTTTTAATTTATTTCTGGGTATATTTTTTAATAATCTTTTGCATATCATATTGTTTTATGTGCCCCTGCTGATCCATGAAACAAATTCAAATTTTATGTTTTAGACTTTTGGACCTGAGTGGAGCTCCTTTAATGTTCATGTTTAAAACATATGTAATATCAAGATATTCACTTGCATGTTTGTCCTATAGAAAGAATGCATTTCAAACGTATGCAGGTAACCATCAAATTTACTTTGACTTTAGTTCAGTCATGCCCCAACCTCAAATTTATGAATTATTTCCTTGTTTTAAACCTTAAATCAAGGTATGTTTAAAAAATAATATCAAAGATATTTACTTGCATGTTTGTTATATAGAAAGAATGCATTTCAAAAATGTGCAGAAAGCTATCAAATTTACTTTGACTCGGTTCAGTCATGCCCCAACCTCAAATTTATGAATGATTTTCTTGTTTTAAACCTTAAGTCAAGGTAAATTTAGCAATTAATATCAAAGATATTTATTTTGATCTAACAATTGAAATTAATTTCGAATTCTCTGACTATGGCATTCTTTTCCATCCAAAGTGCGTAAAAATGTCACGGCAAAATACCTACATGCTTTTTATTTTATTTAAAACTGACTATTTACTTAACAATTGTTTACTATTGAAAAAAATGCAGCATTTTGTGTCAGAGTTATTGCACAGTTCCAGACGCTGCTAAATGTAGGTGTTGTTATCAGCTCTTGATACCAAATATACTTAATATATGAAAACAGTAAGGTATTTAGATATAAATATGAATATATGACAATTTATAGCTGATACTGCTTTGCGTCATTAAGTAATTTTGTATATTTTAGTGGCGTCATTTTAGATATCTTTTTTTTCCAACGAAGAACTAACAATCTGTCAGTTCATTATACTTTTCCAAGCCAATGGCCAGTCTGTTTTCAGTTTGACTTCCTGTAAAATACAGGAAAGAACTGAATATAAGAAGAGTTTCCATTGGTCATTTTAAAGTTCAAAAAGTGTCTAATATATTATATGATTATTAATGTGTTCAATTGATATAATGTTAACGATATGTATACATTGTTTACATTTAAATATTTATATAATTATAAAATAACTGCCTGACCGACTGTGTACATATTGGTGTAATAAATTGAGTTCACTTGCCGAAACACGACAAGTTTGTTTAGAAACACATACATCTTAAAGTGTTTCATTTTTTGAAGATTAATAACTATATAATACAAGGAATCATAAATGTCTCTGTTATGCAAGCTATGCTAACATTTCTACATGACTTTGCATGGAAAACTAAGAACTAAAATATGCATGTTAACAAGTTTTACTTCGACCGGGTATCTTTTTTAAAGATTCTTCTTGTTTTCCTTCTGTTAAAATAATGATGACGATCAGTGTAAATCGTTTTTTTTACGATCTTCTATCTCTGTCTCCTCTAAACCATCATGATCAGGTTTATCTTCATAGACACTCTACAATCGTTTACATTATATATAGTTTGCAATGAATATTTCACTGTCAAACATTTCCTCTTTGAATGCTATGATCTTGCAAAGTCGTGATATATATTACCGAGAAAATTCACTTTCAGAACTTTTTTAAAACATTGATCGATTACTTAAAAGAAATATATATCTCATTATACGATAGTAATCATATTGCTCAGCGCGGTATGACAAGTAATGTGTCAATGTGCCGTTAAACCAAATGAAACAAATTATGTAATAGAAAGAGCACCGAAACACGAGGCTATCTGATTTGTACGAGGGGGCGTAGCCCCCGAGTATTAATCAGATTGCCGAGTGTTTTGGTGTTCTTTCTCTTTTGTATCATAGTCAAACATAAAAGCACGTTCCCTGTTGTCACAATATGAAACCCCGGCAAAAATGAACCAATGAACGAACATCTGAATATGACATTTCTGTCGCTTTCCCTTTCTCTGCCGTCACAATATGTAAACCCCAGCAAAAATGAGCCAATCAATGGGCATGTTCTGGAGTGCGGGTAACTAATACCCGCACTCCAGTTAACGCACTGTGCATGTACATGTATACGATTTAACCCTGACACATTTTCAACAGAAAGGTCTCCAAACTATGATACAACTGCTGATAGAGATCATGCCTGTCTAAATTATTTGAACTAAGGAGGAAGAACTGCTGGGAAACTACCGACTTTCGCGATATTATCGCGTGAATAAGAAAAATTGACACACCGATTTCTAAACTATCAAGCTGTTTGTAAACATTTTCTTAAGTCAAGAATCGATGGAACAAATACAATATTATTGATATTATCTCAAATTGTTTTTGTTTACTTTGGTTATCATTTCAATGTAAACATTAAGTGTTAGGGTATTTTGGTATGTTATGACGAAACCATATTGCTACATATTCTTTGAAAATTACTCTTTCTTAAGCGGGTAATCGTTTTAAATAGTATCTTAACAGGATTTCGGCATTTATTTCAAAACTGAAGGATAGCCATTTTCAACCAATCAGCGTGTTTTAAGATATGACATCATTAATTTATGATATACAGGGGGGATCCGTATTGTCAGAACTTAACCAAGTTTAGTGTTAATGAGTAAAATAAAAAAAAAACACTTAGTAGCACTTTACACTACGAGTACAAAATGATGCGTTTGATACGGTACCCTGTTTTGGTCAGTTTAAATGTTACCTTTTGACATGTGATATATAATTAAATCGTATGTATGGCTCTGTTGGCTCTGGTCATTTTAAAAGATAAAGTTGCGAGATTTGTATGGCTAAAAAAGATTCGTGAAAGAACATTTCGATTTTGGGAGGATTCAAGTGAAACATTAGACAAATTAAAAGTTCATTATAGCTGTGTAGACTATCACATCTGACAGTAACTATTTCATATTTTATGACCACCTCCAATGAGCGATACATTTCTTCTATAAGATACTTATCATAATGCACATTAGTGCCATAAAACACAAAGTTTTAGCACCTAATTCCAGAAATATTTTTCTAAGGTGTGGTCAGGTTGGTAGGGGAAATCTAACTTCCTAGTAACTTACTAGATTAATCGTGAAAAAAAGTGTTCTTTAAAACTGCATTACCTGTATTTGACTTGAAAATCTCTTATTACTTTGTATAGAGGAACAATATTTTACTGATAATAAGTATACTTAAATATGTTCATATAAATATTTTCATATTGTAACATTGTATAAACAATAAGCTACGGGTATTCAACCTTAAACTTATAAAATAAAATGGTCGGGACAAGTTTAGCCACAATATTGCGTGTAAGTATTTTAATTGGGCATGATTAGAAGATTGTGTATTTAAAAATGAAATAATGAAAACTATTGATTATTAATTTCTTATCATAAAATGCCTATTTTTATTTTCCGTATTTTCACTGTAAAAAAGATATTTTTTACTTTTTCAAAAGTACATTTATATTTTAAAAAGCAGAACAATTAACATTTTCTATAAATAATAATTTATTTAATCTCGTTGCATGAAAATAAATATTTCATGAGTGGCGGTAGCCGATCAAAATAAATTATATATTTATAGAAATAACCTTTGCATAGATAGTTTGCACTTGAAAATGTATTCAGTAGGGAATGAAAAGTTGGAAATATAATCTTAAGCAAGGTTCTTGTGTCACATGGTAGAAATTCCATTTGCTTACTTGAAATGTTTAACGACCGACCAATAAAAAACAAAATAAACGGCCTTCATCTTAAATAATATTTTTATAACATGCTTTTCGCTCGTTTATAAATATATCAGTGAAATAAAAAAACTGATATTTTCACTATTTGAAACAGTGAAATTGTTGTCAATTTGATACTAAGTTTTTCACTGTTCTGAATTTAGGCCCGTAACTTTGTTTCAGTGAAATACCAGCGTGCACATTACTGGAAACCAATTTACTGACTTGACGTCGTAAATGACGTCACGTTGTATTATTATTTGACGCGATTTTCATTTAGTATTAGGTTAAAATGACTTTTATAAACCTTTCTTTGCATATAATAAAAAGAAAATTTGTTTAGTTCAGTATAAAATCGGAATATATTTCACCAAGGTATATTTCACGAGTGGCGCAGCCATTTGGTGATCACTCTGTGAAATATACTCCGCTCATACACTGAACTAAACAAATATCCTCTATATGTTTGCAATATTATGTCAATTTCATGTCAATTATATTTTTGTTCTGCATCACAGTCATCGTTTAACATGTACAAGTGAATATTTAAGCGGAAAGTATTAGCGTCTTTACCCCCCGGGGGCACGATGCGTAATATACATGTCATGTGACACACGTAATCACTTAATTATTTTAACCTTAAAGTCAACTATTTATTTATCAATATCTGAGTATATCAAAAATGTTACCAAATATTATATTATGTAAACAATTTAGAATGACCATGCGTTGATGTTAAACATAATATGGTCAGTCAGGAAATAGTGAAACGTTTCGATTTCGTTATTAAATCAATTTTGGAATTTTATGTGGCTTTAATATACCTCGGACTTACACCTTTTACCATTAGTGTTATACCGGATTTTATCTCCTTTTGTGGTTGATATTGATACAGCTTTGAAACGATATTTTATCATTTTTATTGTGACTCATATTTGTTTAATTTACCAAAATTCGCTGAAAAATCTATCGTGATAAGGGAGTAGTTGTGCTTTATAAGAGATATGTTTTAAATGTTCACTGTTTCCGTCCAGATACTACTGACGGTTTGAAGTACATGAGTAAACATTGCAGTTCTTTGTAAAAATCAGAGACAAAAACTAAATTAAAGAATCAGCCTTAGCAGAAGGTCGTTTGTAGCATAAGAGAGAATAGAAAGACATAGAAAAATACAAAAAACTACTTACTAACTTAATAAACAATTCTTTAAGGAAAATATTTAAGTTTTATTTTAACTTTAACATGGATTGGAGATTTTACAGTTTTGCAGTACTTTTGTATTTTCTAAGTTCGCACGTACAGGTGGCGGATGGAGTTACCCAGAAAATACAACTGGATCCGTTACCAGTAGCACCCGAGTATAAAGCATCTAGTGTCGAGTACAGCGATGGCGGGATGGGACCTATGTTCGATTTTGCTCGTAGCTTCATAAATACTGCACTTCCTGGCGGCTTCCCGGCGGACTTTATAAATGGTGAGGACAATAATTTTATAGTAAAATATAGCAGTAACTGGTTAACTGATATTTAATTATATATGGAGTTTACCAGTTTCTGCATTAAGGTGATGCTATTAAAGCCTTATAGGAATACTCATTCCTAATAAAACAATAATTTATTGTGATGTTTTTTTATGTAACTAAATTCTTCGTTTCTGGAGACATTAAGATGTATACCACTTCCGATATAAATATATATGTAATAATATTTAAATATTTTACACTAAGATGTAAATCTAATATTTAATTTATTATTTGTTAAAATACAGTTCACATTTTATGAATCGAAGGTCGAAATTTTAGGCAGTTTTGATTAAAAAATAATAATGAATTTGAACAGTAATTTAAGACAAATGTAAATCTGCTTCGTACATACATGTATATACATATTTCAGTCAATACTATATAATACACCGTTTAAGGTGTTATGACATAATTATATTTTTTTTTCTTTTCTAATACTTTTTATATAAGATTTTAAATATTAAAAAATAAATCGTCAACTGCAAATAATTAAAATTCCTTATCAAATACCAACGTGTCGACTGAACTGCTTTCCTCGTTTGAAATTCAAACTATCTTAAATAAGTGCATAACATATCGCGCAAATGGTATTTTTAACCATTATCTATTATCTTCAGGTACTTGCAAACTTGGTGATAAATGCGCGAATGAATGCCCTTTTTTGAAAGTGTCATTTTTATCTTATGTTTTATAAACGGTTTAACAAACAATGTACTTTAAGTCCATTTTGTGCAAAAAGTAAGACCGAACATATAAAAGCATTAATTTTCTTTTCATAAGATTTGCAGTGTGTTCATCTGACACATGTAAGTGTTACTACATGAACTAAAAATGTTATTTTGTCTACAAATTTTATAAATGAGCTAATACTATAAACATTATTCTGAATTTATAGTGATGTATTATTATTATATTTGTTTTCTAATGTTCAATTATGTTAACAAAATGGTTGCATGGTAGTGTACACCAACAAAACAGTCAATGAACAGACACAATATAATACAACAATGTTTAAGTAATGCATAATTACTGTCCTGCTATAAAAAGCATTGTCCACGGATAAAAACAGATATTAAACATATTTCAACGTTGCTGCAGTTTATTTCTGTCAACCAAATACTTCTGATAAATGATTTACAATTAGAGATTAGTCTCTGACTGAGGCTAAAATGTTCAGACTCCTTCAGGGTGTTCCTCAAGCGAAAGTCCTTAAAGTTTCGAATTAGCAATGCAAGCTGAAACAAAGTATATGCATACAACACGCCTCTTTCTATGCTCTATGCATTATTTCAGGTATATAAAAAAAGATCTGTGAGACATATTTAGATACATTAACGTTCCAATAGTCGTTTGAATCTTATTAGCGACTATAGATATTTTATGGTAGAATACTGTCCAGCTAGTCTACGGAACATAGGTTTCTTCTCCTACTTGAAATGATGCATAGTCTATTGTCTTTTATCTACCAGGAAAGCTGGAAAATCACCATATATTACAGTGCCGAAAACCAGAAAAATAAAACAAAAATATACTTAAGAAGATAAAAAAAGATTTCTAAATACTGCTACGGACAATAAGTGACGTAAAAGGTATATGAACACACCAAAAGTGTCTAAGTGTAACCAGACAATTGGAAAATTTGTATGGCAATAATTGATTTTTATTTCAACAGTTCTTCAACAAAAGACATATTGCTGAGATTCAAGATTTTTGTTAGATTTCTAGGGAAACGTTAATTGGGCACCTGAAAGTTGGTACATACCTGTGTTCTTGTATGTAGTATTGTCCATTTTATCACGGTGTCACGTGAAAATATATGACTACTTGAAGCAATAATGTTTCAGTTTTATACCAGAAGATTTTTTTTCGCAATACTACTCTTTATGGCATGTCGATATACAAGAACTGGACTTGAGTAGAAAAAGGATCGCCTTCTCGCGACATGATTAGGGTTGGGGCAACATTTGTTTTTACGATTGCCGTTATAATGTAAGTAAAAATAATATTATTTATGACATGTCGATATAACAGAAAAAAATATTGTATAAATGCAGAAAGTAGACATATATTTTCACGAGATACCGTGATAAAGTGGACAAAACTACATACAATAACATAGGTACGTATCAACTTTCAGGGACCCAATTAACTTTTTTTTCCGTCAAAACCAGTTCCGATATATAGACATGTCATAAAGAATAGTATTGAAGAGGAAAAACTTCTGGTCTAAAACTGAAACATTAATGCATCAAGTAGTCTTATATTTTCACGAGATACCGAAACAAAGTGGACAAAATACATACAATAACACAGGTAGGTATCAACTTTCAGGTGCCCAATTAACGTTTCAATAGATTTCACATTAATTTTATACATTGATAAGTAAAAAGGAATCACAAATGCTTACTTATTCAGGAGGCAATTGCAATCTATTTACAAGTTCATATCAAACATGATGATATAAAGTTTCAAACCAGAACAGTTTTTGGGATAAAGCTAACCTCTGAGCATTTCTTTGGTTATTTTTTGGTGAAAAACCTTGATATACATATATGCATATCATATTAATACCATGGATAAGCTACCAACACAAATAACATGCTTGTATATTTCTATACTAGTAGTAGACATTTTTCGTTCCTGGATCTATATCTATCAAGATGTATTAATTGTCTCAAAAAACCAGATTAGCTGTTAATGCACAACTAGATATGTTATCCTATGGATTGATGTTAATTCTGATAGGTACATGCTAATTGTCAAGAAATTCAAATATATATATATATTAAACAAAAATATTGTGAAGTGCACAAAGAAAGTAACTTATGCATTTCAACATTTCAAACTGGGCTTACAATCCAAACAAATTACAACCCCTTCCTCCACCCAAACAAAAAGGGTCAAAATATGCAAAATAGCTCTAACTGCATTAGTCAGGCAGTAGCAATATGTGATAAATACTGCAAAATCAGTCATTCATTTCACATATCATGTACACTTTCATTCGAATCTTGAATCTTTTTTTCTTTTCTTAAATTCCTAGTACATTGTCCATAAGTTTGATTTTCCTGAAAATTGTTTTTGACCCATCTTGAGGAATACAGCTTTTAAGTTATCTTTTAAACTGATGAATGAAAAAGATAAATAAATTGTCTATTAGCCGTGACATATGAACAAGAAGACAAACAATGTATTTTGTTTTTACTTTTAGTGGACTATGTTACGCTTAATATAGATCTTACCAATACCAACTCTCTGTAAGACACTGAACTTGGCACTATTGTCATAGAGTACAGGAACTCTATAAACATAAATTTTGCTTCTGTAAAAAATGAAACACACTGTTCATACATTCGTGTGCTTTAATATAACATTTTGACGACTTAATGCGACTTCCTTGTATGACAATGAAACCGATCAGATAATGGCACATTGAGTGAGTCCTGGTGAGGACCAACATCTGAGTGAAAATCACCGACCATTCCTCCGTCAGTTAATTCAAAGTGGCTGGTTGAATCGTAACACAGAGCGGTATATAGCCTTCTTAAAGAAGATTTCAACAAAATTAAACGATTTGACATCATCTTTAATCTCAATTTTGTACAAAGATACGGACAATGTCTTCGCTGACAATTAACTATTGAATACATCACATGTCAATTTATCTGTTTAATTTTGAAAATAATAATGACCAAAATGTTAGAAATGTCGATTACACATTAGATAAACGTTGGATGGGGATTTATTTTAAACGTGCGATTTAGTTTTACTAAGCAACGAGACAACATTAGATAACCTTGTGTCAAATCGTCCCGGCTTTTTTAAAATTGTTAATTTCTTCTTATTTTTTCTACTGTTTGGTATGCAAAAGATTGTCCTTTGTAGGCAATATCTTTTTATGTCAAATTGCTGTATTTATTTAATCTTTTAAGACCTGCGTTTTATCAAAATGCTCTTAGAGTATAAATGATCGACCAATTCGGAGTTAAATATCTGTTCCCGCCTTGCCTTGTTGTTCCCCGGTCTATTTCTATAACCTAGTACCAAACAAACAATGCGATCAACAATCTCAAAAACAATGTACATTAAAGTGATTTGTGTAATATAGTACAAAGATTGCCTGGCATTCTCCCGTTCAAGATTTTAAACCTGCATAATTTCATATAGAGCACCAGTGCATAAGACCTCAATTTAAAGACTTGTCCAAACGTACAAAAGTAAGCATCGCAATAATTTATTGCTCGTGATATAAATGTTCACCATTTTGCAGTTCAGTGAACACGTGGACAGTACCCGATCGACGTTCTAAAGACGACATGGTTCAGATGCGAAATGAAATGGCAATAACGCAATGAATATGCAATACTTTGTTAATTAAATGCATTAATCTTAATTGGGAACTAAAGAATAAAAGTACTTGCTGTATATGATTTTAAAGACACGTTATATAAAAACCTACTGAAATAGTTTTATCAACATTATATTTTTACGTATTTCGGAAGGGTTTATTTTTATAATTCTATAACAAACAAATGTTTCAATTTACACACCAAGGACATATGTCAAATTTTATGCTAAATTTGTACTTTAGCACATTGTTTCTTCGCTTAAAATCCTTCCAATTTGCAATTTCCTTTGTAATCATTATGCACACAAACAAGGCAAAATTCAGGTAGGGGATGTTATTTTATTCTGCATAAAAACGACCAGGCTATTGTAGTTATTTTTACAGCTCATTGGAATGTAAAATTGAGATTTTTTGCTCTGCTAAACAGAGGCGAAAATGCAATACTTGTTTTAGTTATGTTACTGCAAACAGTATTCTCCTAGTTTTTTGCTACTATACATGTATATCGCTAAAATAATTATGTTAGACATGATCTTGCAAATGAATATAAAACTTCATTAAATAGGGCATACACACAAGAAATCAGTACAACTTGCCTGCCAAA